TACACAGCACAAAACGCATAAAAAAAAATTAAAACTCCGCTTCATATGTAGTCTCAGCGATTGCCAGTGGTATCACGAGCAAACAGCAACCACCACCAGCAAAGTTGTAGATGGTTCTTTCTCTCGATGGTTGCTTAGAAACACGCTGATGGCGGTTTCGGCTCTGGCATGCGCTATGTGATTTGCCCACTGAGTGGTGTACTGATGCAGAGACAAACAGAGTCGCTCTCGTGCTAAAAGTCGACGGTTCAACTCAACTCCACTGGTTTCGATTGTAAGTAGTTGGTACTGGTGCATCAGCGTGTTTTCAAGCAACCCTCGAAGGAGTTTGCAAATAAGCAGGTTGCTGTCAGCATTTGCGAGTAATTGAGGCACTTTCAAGCGTCCCCGCAAAGAGTAAATACTGACAGAAATTTGACTCTGAGAGCTACGAAAAAAATTGAAGAAAAAACCTTCGAGACCAACAGCCAACAGTGCGGGACATTCAAAGTCAGCCAGCAGTTTCTGCTCAACAACCATCTGTACTGCGACAATCACTTGTGAAAAAACAATCAAAACATCGCCTGAAAGCTTTATAACTAATTGGATGATCATTTTTTGGCGAGAATGTAATCTGGGCAACCAAAAATATGCGTTTTTCTGAAAGCCTAGACCTTAAATGAGACAAGCACCAGTCGAGTCAATTTTCACGACGACGAAGTACAATGTCGGTTACGTTGCGTAACGAACTAAAAATATCCGAATTCTCCAAAAGGAATAAGTAACAGGTAAAAAGAACCAACCAACAAGAATTTGAAGCCTGGTTTTGCCTTTCGTGTCATCTACGTATAAGATATCAGCCACACCAACAACCACTAAACCAATCACCACGAGCAACATGCCGATCCACTTGAAAAGACGCAGCTTCACATGTAAACAGAGAATCGAAAACAAACCAGTAAAAATTATTACGGCACCTGAAAGCACAGATTTTTGATGATTTACACGTTTAGAATGTGTTGATACGTGTCACAGAAAACTATTCGGGCCCAGTACCAGAAACAGGAGAGAGAAAACATGCCAGCAAACAAAAATATATTGCTTTCCCAGACAGGAAAGGTATCGTGGTCTAGGAATGGTTACGTTCGAAAGGGTTCGCTTACAGCCTGCCAGGCGCTCGCCTGAAGAACCAACTGAACTGCCAATTTATTCGGGAGGCGAAGCGAACGTCAGGGAAACCATCGGGCTGGTCAACAGGCGAAGCAACACTGGTCAAGGCAACTTGTCAGTTGCATGGGATAATTGAAGTGTGGATCACAGTTGGTCCAAGCAAAAACAAAGGATGCATATGGCTGCGCAAAATTTAGTTAAAAAATGATGGCAACGAAATTTTAAGTTAACAGTACTAGCAGTAAATGGTAAAGTAATATTTTGATCAATAATAAAAAAAAGACAAAGTTACTGCCGCACTTTTTTAAACAAATGCAGTGCATGCATATTATGTTTGATGAATCAAAATATCTTGTTGCATCGCAAAAAAAAAGTTCGGGACTGGCTATAAGAAGATGCGCTCATTCATCACTGATATGAAGTATTTAATTTTTATAGACCTATTGCTTCAAAAAAATATGAAGTAATAAAATATTCCGGTTAACCGCAGAGACGGATAAATTCAGGAAAATGAGTTTTAAAAGTAAAAAAAAGTTAAAAAGATTTTCAGAAACGAAAACCATGGAATATATGTATACGACTGACAAAAGTAAATTTCCCTGACACCTGATTTTTTGCATTACCGCTTGAATGAACCATATTTTCGAGCAGTTAAAGCAGAAATTAACTTTTGCACAGTTATTCAAGCTAAAAATTTATGATCAGTCTGCCAGCGATCCTCACTTTCGTGCTGCTTACTTCCATAGAAAAATATGAGATGCATCACATCCCCTCCGCTGCTTATATATTGCTCAATTACCCTATTAAGAAACTATTCCATGCTTCCCATGGCGACCCAACCTGTGGAATGAGACTTACTAGGACTACAGTGTAACAAATTTCCAAAAAACTGGATTCCTGGTGTAAATGGAGCGAGTGGTGCCAGGAAGAAAGTATTTTAGAAAATTCCGAACAATGCT